TTGGTCTGATATTTCTGGAGTTGTATGAACTTTGACGTCACGTTTCATCAGAACTCTTTATTTAATCTCATTATTGACTAAAGCAGTTCCTTCTTTTCAGATTTACCCACAGTCTGTGTCTCAAGCATTTTTTCTTGTTTTCTCTGTGCTGCTGTCAGCTATCATTTCACTGCCCAATTGATGAAACCTTCCTCCACCTCGTTCACCTCTTTTCATCAGGACCAGCGCTCATGGATCACTCGAATTATCTCATCAGTGGTCCTGCTCTACGTCACATCCATCTAGATCCTCATCATTACTTCTACTCACTGCTACACCACCACCACCAGTGACTCATTGGAGCAGAATATACTTTCACAACTTATACCATCACTACCTTGACTGAATGATTTTTGGCCAAAAGGGGTCAAATGGCCAAATGTCCACATGTTTCTTCAACCACTTATTGTCCACTTCTTCACGTATTTTTAAAGCTTTAGTGGGTGCACAACTGAAATACTATAAGAATATAATAAGGACACAAAATTACATAAATAAACCAAATGTTATGTGTATTTGTGGGTTATCACTTTTCTTCCTCTGTGAGAAAGATTTTTTTTTACCTTCTTGATGCAACCACAGATCGCCAAACTACCACAGCCCTCCTCAAGGGCCCATAGTGCGGCAAATGCAAATGCAAATGAGGATGGAGGCAAGCATGGTCACCTTTACCACCCACACTTTTGTTGTTGGTCTGAGTATTCGAACCGGCAACCTTCTATTCACAGGCTTGCCTTCTCTCCCCCCTTAAGCAAAACATATTTCTGCCAATATCTGTCCACGCTTGACCTGACTTTCTAACTCAGGTGCTGCTGTAGCTGCCTTTCAAGACTGAAATAAAGAAAATGCAATAAAAGATCTACTTATTTCCCTCGTTTCAGATTTTCTCCTCATATCAAATAGTTTGTAATATTTAAAATTTGGAGATACAATCGTGGTAATGGTACAATCTCATCAAAAGAACTCATAAATCTAGGTCTGATTGTTTCTAATAAAATAAACATGCTATTATCAGTTGTTTCCATTTTGTGTTCAAACATTTTGAAATGCATGTTGAGAACTCTGATGAATAAATCATAAAAATAAATTTTTTTTTTTTTTTTTTACTAAATATTTCCCCCACACAACCCTGCTTGCTCTGCTGGGCAATTATTCTTTCTTTTTTTTTGCCATTCTGAATATCTGAAGCCAAGTTTGTAGAGGACAAACTATTTTTTATTTTTTTTTTACTTTATTTTTCCTCCATAGGTCAGTGCATTTTGTTTCTAATGCAAAACCAATTATTAGCCATTGCTGTAAAGGATGAGGGTGTGACTGTGTGTGGCTCGGTGGTTATTAAGAACCCAGGATGGCTTTATAAACAGCTCGTCCACTAATCGGACTAAATGCATATTGTTTTTGTTCTGTTACAAGCTTGTTTTTGTTGTGACGGAAGGAGGTCTGTTCAGCTGATGAGTGTTTTAGTATTCGTCGAGACACCGAGCAAAGATCAAACTTTTTAAAATTTAGTGCTTCTGGCAACATCCTATACATTTTTTGAAGCAATGATCTTTTTATTTAGTATTTATTGTATTCATACTATGTCATTTTATTTGATTTTTCTTATAATGAAAGAATCATCTTTGTTACCTTTTTGTCAAAGTATGGCTCTCAGCAACTTAAAAAAAACATGACATCGTACTCAAAAAGGTCCATGCTCAATAATGCAGGTATACAATCCAACAATTTTCAGTCAGGTCAAGGATTATTGAGCACGGCCCTTTTTGGTTTTGAACCAGTTTGATTGACATGACTGTCGACGAGGAAGAGGGCCGGCACAAGAGGAGGGGGCGTGCCAAAGACACCATCTTATCACCAACATAACTGGTTTGTTCAAGGGTGTCCGAAGCATCTGTAATGTGGGGGGGACACAATGAGATGTGTGTGTGTGTGCATGCGCATGTGCGCATAAAGAAATGTACACTAGTGTACAAAAAAGCAGCATTTCACCTAGATTTCCTTTAATTCCACACATTTAAAACATGTTTCTCACCAAGTTTGTGTAAATTCAGCTGTGGGTTTTAAAGACATTTGAACTTTAATACACTTTAGTACAGAGCGTCAGGTTGGCACTAGTTGTGTTTATAGAGAAATAAAAAACATCACCACTAGACATTTTTACTTGTGTTCAAGACTACTCATCTAAATGATGTTTCTAATGAAGCTTGAGGACAATAAGGTGTGGGGTTTAAAGACATTTCAACTTTAATGCACCTGAACACACAGCGTCTCTTACACCTGCAGCGTCTTACAGAGTCACAGTTACTGCTAAGCTAAGATGCTACAAACGTAGCGATCCTCTCGCATCCTCCTAATCATGAATCTATGTTGATGATCAACCCCCTGCTCAACAACTGCCCGCACTAAGCTTCTAAACTGGCGAGCGAGCAACACAGAGGTGTCTCCATCTCCTCCACCTGTGCGCGTTTTCTGCCAAGGCAGGAGACTCAGCAACTGCTGCCTGCACACTTTCTGCTCTGTCAGAGCTGGAGGTAACCAGGAAAACCTGGAGTGGAGTTTTTGTGGCTTGAGTATTCTCCTATTAATCAAGTGGAATGGATTTGTTCACGAAGAAAGAGAAACTGCGCCGCCTGAACTAATGTTTCATAGTAAAAGTGTGTATGGGGGGGGGTCCAAATGAACGTTTTTTTTTATGTGAGGGGGACTTGTCCCCTTCACATATAATGGTTGCGACACCTATGGGTTTGTTCCACTTTGTAGAAAGCTGTTTGGGGGAAGAATCTGTTTTGTGTTGTGTGTTTCCTTGACTGATGAAGCCTTCCGGATGGAAGGTGAAACGTTTCAGCAAAAAAAAGAAAATGTCCAGATGACCTGACTGAAAACTGTAGGATGACATCGTACTGTTATTTAAATATTGAGATTCAAAGGTGCAATGAGATGATTTGCTCTTTTGTATATTTAGACTAAATACACATTTTGTCCTGTCTTGAGTGCACACCCCCTCTCAC